ACAAAATTCGTCTATGTAGTATAAAAATATCAGATCGAACACAAAATAAATCAATATGAGTATAAAAGGAGTTAAGATGAGTAATTTTTTAACATAAAAAGCATTTTCTGTCTGAAGAAATCAATGTTTAATCATGCACAGTTGTATGTTGTTATTTCTCGCGTCACTAAGCGAAATGGTTTGAAATTCATAATTTGTGGCGACGGATGTGCAAAAAAATTAACCTATAAATGTTGTATACAAGGAAGTGTTCAATAATATATATGTTTCATTTTCTTTATATTCATTAATATCTCGATAGTTCCTTTATTATACAATTTGAATTTGAATACAAACTTGCGTTTTAAAAATGATGAAATTATAAAATCTCGTGCATCGCACGAATACTGTACTAGTAAGAATAAATATACACCACAAGATTTGTCAAATTAACGGATGAGATGTGTCAATGATGTTGTCCACGCTGAAATTAAGCGGTGGCATAGTTGTAATTTAACGCAATACTAAGGTAAGTTCGGTATGTAAAAGGGCATAGTCGTAACTGAAATTGACAGCTACACAGACATATCGCATCTATTCCTCTCTCACTCATTAATTGCGCGTTTACCTTTCTCTCTCTCCTCGACCGAATTCAATTTCTCTTTCTCCCACCGACTAACGTTTTGCCGGCGAAGATGGAGAAGGTGTCGGCGAAACACCGGACCGTGTTTGACGGGGTTCGGTCGAAGCCCTTTTAGTTTTTCTTCTTGAAAATCGGTCTCTTCATAAGGAGCAAGTCGATAAATACTCTGCTTTAAGGGAAAACAAAATTGTCTGCCATTCAAAGATGGAGATGATAAATCTTTTTTCCAGCGAAAAGGGCTTCCAAGAGGTAATTTTAGGTATTCTAACAGTTTTGCAAATTTTGGACTTATTTTTCTATTCTTTTTCTTGATTGAAATCATCTAATTATTTTTTATACTGTTAGGATTCTGTGACTTCTTCTCTTACTTTTTTTTTTTTTTTTT